TAAAAATTGTCCTATTTTTTTTATCGTTGACGAAAACCGTTGCCGGAATGCAGAATGTTGTGGTTAGTTTGTAGAGTGAAAAAGGAGAAAATCGATCGAATTGTCGGGCCCGGACTGTTATGTTAGGCGAACTGTACTACGTATCCCTTCTTCCTGACTCGAACGTTCCGAAAATAACTATTGCCAGCGATTTCTCATTTCTTTTTGCTTCGCAATAGCGCGACACGAGGCTGATGAAAACGGTTCGAGGAAGTGTTTACGATATTCGCGCGTCGGTTTTGCGACGAACATTAAGTCTCGATACCAATAGACGATTACAATTTCTGATGAAATAGCTGTACAGAATTTAACCCACGAGGTAGCACGATGTTGGCTGAAATTAAAGCCGACAATGACCCGTGACATCTATCAATCTTGCGACGTTGTTGCCTCGCCGCGTCATTGAAAAATATAATTATGAATATTTATCAAGGATCCGAAGTAATTTAAAAATTAAACGTACACGTGCGCTTCGGTATTCTCGAAGAGGTTAATAGAAAATGGATTTCTTTCACCGACGCGTGAATATGTAATCCACCGCGATGATAACCAATTCTAGAATGGAAATTATTTAAATAACGCTCCACGTGTCGCGATCTAATATTTACATGTGTCAGGGTATTGGAAATTCCGATGAGTAACTCGAGAACCTCAGCTTTTGTTTATCTTAGCCAATAGAATCAATCTCTTTTGAGAATACCCGGCTGCTTACTGTCTACGTATCTGCCCCCACTCGTCAACTTGCGCGTAAAAATATTCATAAGTGGTTGAAAGCACGATGAAGGGTTAAATGGAACGACTGAGAAAAATCCTCTAATATAGAGTAAAGCAGGATATCTGAACACGAGGTCGTTGACCTTAACTGAAACTGTTGGTCATTCCAACTATAACAGTATCACCGACAAAGGTTCCCTCACTCCGCAAGAATTAAAGCAAAAAAGTTTCCATTGATCGCGTTCGATCGAGATACAAAAGTCTTTAAAATATTCATCGCAAGGAACGTTTTCTGCAGCGTTTCCCCAGAAAATTCGCAGTCTATGACCGGCCGAGCAAAGTTCGCGTTTCACCTTCTTTGTTGCGTTATCGCGATTCCGATTCGATCGCAGCTGCCGGTTTTCCTTAAAGCGCGCAATTACCGGGCGTCTCGTTACATTTTATCCGATATGCATATGCTAATCGGGGGAACAAAAACCCGCTCTCCGAGCGCGCCGCTAGATATTTCTATACCATTCGTGGATAATTGATCGCCGCCACGCAAGTTACGATGGAGTTAAACAAACCGGCCCCCGGGTGCCTTGTTCTACGTTTCACTTCGGCTTTCCGACCTACCCTATCGAATGGATTACATTATGCTCGCGCAACATTTCGCAATCGAGAAATCAGGCATCGGCGGGCCGCTTACCGCGAGGCTTCGCTTCAAGGTTCGCCGTTTTCACGAGGGGGAAACGATCGTTAACGATACCCGACCAGGCAGGACTACCGGTAAAGTGAATTGGTTAAAACGGTACGGCCCTGGGGAACCAATCTCTTCATCTACCTATTTGAATTTCGGTACTTCCTGATCTCGTTCCTCCGAACACAAACAAACACGAACGGTATAAATACAAACATGTTGGGTAGATGAAATTTAAACCAATAACGATACTTCGACCGATTAGGAAAGGTGTAGAAACAACTGAGCCATTTTTATAAAACCATATGCTACCATTTATGGTCTGAAAATCTCCACATCCAACGATAAAAAAAGAAATTCAGTCCCTTCTCGGGATTAACTTATCGATGTCCTTTCGGTATCAGAGGCGGGTTATCGATAGTTCGCGCGACGAAATACAGGATGACTGGTTCAATGACCCAATAAATTGTCGCAACAAACCGATGACGCATTTCCACTATGTGCAACGCGTTTTACGATGTTGCATCCATAGATACGATTTGCAAGGAAATGCTTAATATATGACTAATCGGTGAAATCCATTATCACTCGGTATCGAAATACGAACGATTGTATTTGCCAATAACAATAGCCGCGCGCGGGAAGAAATGTCCACCCTTGCGCAAAATCGTACGCTACAAGTAGCACGTGCGCGAGAGCGCGCGGCAATAGCGCAGCAGCAAACAGATTAAAACTCATTTATCACGCTGTACACAACGACGTCTCGTGCCCCTCGACTTCCTACTCTTTGTCACAAGTCCTTTAATTCGTGATACCAAACGGTATTGTACTTTATCGTGCGTCACGTGTCGACACACCTATTTACTATCGCGTAGTGCACAGATACATGCGCGAGTCAGGAATGTCTCTACTGCGTCGGTCCCGGGGCGAGTTAATGTCGAAGTCACGACGTAGTAAGTTCCTGGCAATACATTGTCACCACGCGACGAGTAAATCGCGACGGAATTAAAATTCATCGAGCCGCGCGCGAGCCACACTCTCGATTGTGTCTGTGCGTCGCGATTTCGTCGTATATTGATTTCGTATCACGCGCGACGAACAATGATTGCAATAAATGGGAACGTTGCTTGTTACGGCTCTCGAGGCCTCGAACGAAAGGTGAACGGTACGCATCGAGGTACATATAGTATGTATATTGTTATGCTATTTTCTCGCGAAGGTATCGTTCGATGATGAACACCGCGGCTGAATGGCGTGCAGTTGTCCGTACAATATTTACTACGATGTAAAGCGACACGCTGGGTCATACGCGATGATGCTATTTTCTAGGGAGAAACGGATATTAATTTGCTGAATAAACAGCGCATTAGACGTACACGTGGATCTATTATCGAACTACGCAATGGTTATTTTCGGGAGCAACGTTATGTACATTCGAGCTAGTTTACTATTTGCCCGGAATGAAGGCTCGTATTCATGAAGCGTTTATGCGCTCGCGCGATCGGTGCAGCGTAGCTTCGCCGTCGACTTCTAACAACTCTCCGCCCGCGATAGCGTTACGGGATATAAACAAACACAGCGCGTGTAGCTACGGCCCCACGTTACACGGCTCGAAATTTGCATCCTTCTCCCCTTTCACAGTCGACTTAGCGTAAAGAGCCTCCACACGGAAGCGATATAATGGCGCTGGGTCGTTTATAGCTCCGCGCATGCGCACCGACACCCTCGGTCGATGGCAGCACCATTGCCTCTGCAGGTTCTTTTGAAAGTACGATTTACACGGTCGTACTATTGCATCGTATGCATGGGTAAATTTTTTGAGGGAAGGAATCGTCGATGTTAACCATAGATGTTACTTTTATCATAGGCAGACACTCACACGAATAATAGATGACGAATAGGAACTTTGTACAATGATTCATTCAATCTAACATTCATACCGCGTGAAATAATGTTTATTTATCAAACAAATAACGTATCAAAGTATTATTCTTTATTTCTTATCTGAGATTTCGTATCTAGATGACAAATTCTGCAACCTATGTTTGTTTAAAAGATAGTTCATTCACAAAGTTCATTATTCTCATAACCAAAATGTTCAAATATTTTGTTCGAAATATGCAAGAAATTAAATTGTTGCTCACATAACTGTCTCACGAATAATCAAAGGGTGTAGATTACAGCATACACGAACGAGTAACAGTCATTCCTTTTCCATTCGTACTCAAGCACACAAGAAAGCAGTCGGTTCGCACAGCATGGACATCCAACGCACAGCAGGTTCCAAGTTTCTTGTAATCGTGCACCAAATAATCGAAATTTCTATGAAAATTTACGGAGAACTACTAAACTCGATCAAAGATCGAACGCAAGATCGAATTCGAAGATATTAGAATGCATATGATTCTTTGTTCAAACGATCGCACGCGTCCCATCCGCCATCTTTGAACTGCGCAGATGGCGCGACGCTCGAGGGCGAACAGCTGAGTTGCGAGTGGAATATCTGCGCGAGCAGAGTGCTCGGCAAGCAGTTCTGTTCTCCGTGCCCGACCGGACCTGCACTCGGCAGTAAACAGCTGGCGACGCGATGCGTCAGAGCAAAATGTCGAACGGGACTGCGCCAAGCTAGTTGCCCCCCTACCTTCTTCTCTCTGGCACGGTGCAAGAGCTTCGAAACAGTGGACGTTCACGGGCAAGCGTTTGGCGCACTCGCGGTGAAAATTCGGCAGCGACGCGAAGCACACAAGTGTCAGTAACAGTATCGAAGCCCGGGACACGGGAAATAAAGAAGCAGACGAGAAAACCCGCGGCGAAAGTGGAGTTTCTTTGTTTCGTGCAACGTTCTTTGCGCATAGGTTTCCGTACGTGTGGCGCAGCGTTGTTTGTTGTGGTCGGTACGTCACTCTCGGCGTACACACGACTCGTCGCGATATAAAACGAAGATCCTGGCGTCCTGGATGATCTCGCGTCGTACCATTTTGTGCACGGAATACATCGACGGCCGTGTTGTGCTGCGTCTCGAGCCCAAGCAACGTACCAATCAGCTCGGAGAAAGGATCGCTGGCCTTTCGTGTACGCGCGAGTGCTTTGTTTTGACGAGCAGCTGATCCGGGACTAACTCGTTTATCGCGTCGACGAGTTCTCCATCGCTGCAACGGTGATTCGTTTCGAAACAGTTTAATCGTGTTCCGCGTACGGTCGCGTACACGACGTTGTTCGTCGGTGCTGTCTCGTAAACTGTGTTTAAAGGGATCACCGAGCCGTGGCAAGCGAGACTCCGTTACATCACGGAAAACCGCGGACGCAATCGATCGATGCTTTCGGGAGCAACAGTGCAACCTATACCGTGAACCTTCCTCGATGACAGACGGACCAACGACGTTGTCAAGAATTGTTACTCCGTGATATACGAGCCATAGTCGGTAGTTTGTTAAACGTACAGAGACATCTTCGGAGCGTGTCAGTGAATGTTTTCGTTTCCAAGGGAATCTACGTTCCCCGTTCGTTCTCGTCACCGACTTCCGGCCGGACCAAAAATTCTTCAGTACCGTCCTGTAAATAACGATCGCGCGGATCGTACCTCGCTCGACCTATAGTTTATCAACCCGGCTGACTCGAGCTCTTTAAAAAGACTGTACAACAGCTTCCCTATCGAAGACTGTGGAACTTTTCTCCGTTACCGATGATCTCGTGATATATACCTACTTCCTCTTTTATTTTCTTCACTTCAATCTCAACGAATCTCCGTTTCGTTCGCGGACAACTGGAATTAAAATCCATCGTTGCTTTATTCGTGTACACGGTGTACGCGGATATACAGACGCGCGTCGTTTCTCGAGAGATCTTCTCTGTCCGCGTTTCGCTTGTTTTCTTTCGGTTCGCGCGCGATCACCCGATCCGTGCGATAGTTTCCGAAAAAGGGCCACACCAGCACGGTCCCACAGAAGGTCTTGAACCCGGCGAGAGTCCCGGTGAATCGACAACGACGAACGGATTCGTGGCCGTGATCGATGTGGCATAAACCCGAGGGGGCCGTACTCGCGAGCGGTGGGAAACGTGGGGTACGGCCCCGATCGAGCTGACTGCAGGAGTCGACCTGAGGTGACAGAGGTCTTCTTCGGACGTGAAGAGCAGGATAAGCATCGCCGAATGCCAGTGGAGTCCTTTAGGCGGGCAGGCCGTTTCATCCTTGTTGTTGGACTGGAAGGAGCTTGACCGGCTCGAAAATGCTGTACATTTTCCACGTGGACACGGGCACCACCATCACCTTCGACATCAAGTTGGCTCTGCAGACGTAAGTTTTTATTTATATTTCTTTAAAATTTTCTCATGTATTCAAGCCTTGACTCTCGAATGTTAGCAAATAATTAATAAAACTATACTGCACGCCATATTTTTCGCGAAAAGAAAGCTTTTAATAATTATATAATTTAACGCATAACCAAAATATATTTTTTCATGTTATCTTAAATTATATTTATATTAATTACTGAAAGGAACAAACTGCTGTGGTCGAGAACTGCAATAAAAGCACGGTTATTCAGACTAATGAAGAATTTAATTTTATGTTTGTTTGTTTGGTCTTTGCGTGAATTTTCAGAGCGTGGCATAGTCGAGCGTCGGTCTCTCCAGTTCCATTATTTACATTTATGATTTTCTCTCTGTTTACTATTTACTCTTGATTCAGCGATTGATTTGTAAATATTTATGTTATCAATATGTACAGCGCGATGAGCGAACCCGTGCTTTGAAATGTTCCGGAATAAGGTAGACGAATTGTTGCAGATTGTTTTTTCAAGCGTTGGTAGGGTCAGGGATGAAATTCGTTTTTTGTTTTAGTTTCATATTTATTCGAGCTACTATAGAAGTTGGAAAATACAATTACTCGAATTTACTTATTATTTTTTACGCTTCGGAATAAACAAAAGTAAATTGCAGAATATGTATTCTTGTAAATCACGTATTCTTGAAAATGCGTAACACTTTATTTTTCTTTCTTGATGTTTCAATTCCGTATTTCTGTCAGAGGCATACGAATAAATTGTGGATTTCCAAATGCTCTTTCTATGACCTAACCTGGTTTCGATTTATTGTCTCAATTCTTACTAGTTCTCGGGAGAGCAACTTGTTGTGGCTTATTGTGTACAGCGCGTTCCAAAATATGTGGTACTAGCAGTAGCCGGATTATTTAAATATTTATTATTGTAGATGTCGATGAATACTTATTTATCGATATCCCACAGTTGCGTATAAAGCAGAGAATCGGTAATTCGTAATTAAAAATGTTTTTAACAAAATTACGGAGGGGCATTTTTGCTTACCGGAAAAAGTTATCGAAGCGTTAAAAAAAGTTCAAAATTAAATTCAAGCTACCGCCAATCTACGTTCCTGCGCCCTCTGTTTTTTTACAGTTCCCTGATTAACGAAGTAAACAACCTAAAAACTGAGTTATATATAACCAGTAACTATTTGAGAGTTATGAAGTGAATAGGTACCCCATGTATATTAAAAACTTCCTCGTAAACAAAAGCTAATGGAGGCGAAAATTCTTATATAGATATTTAAGTGTTTATTTGTACTTATCTTTTTATTCGATCAAAGCTTTTGCAAGAAAAGTTCACCCTTTTTTCCATTATATTTGCAAATCCCTGTACATTATTTTCCGTTAGCTCTGTTTGCTTCGCGCGGTACATCGTGATAACTGTTCCACTATTTTCAAGTCCATTCCTCTTCTACATCCTGCAACATACGTTAGACCTCTTCCATTCATTTCCTTTAACCACGCGAAGCAAACGCAGACTATCGAATAATTGGCTGGCCGCGATGCTTTTGAATATTCATTCCTCATCGAAGAATAGCGACAACTTTTACCCATCGTTTGTTCGCCCGAACAGAAACGACGCAACGTCGTATTCGAGCTCGTAAATTTTCAAAGAGCTTCCTTTTCGTGTTTCGTCGAATGTAGGACAAGCATACGCACGCCGCGTTGCACACAGATTTAATCAGCTGTTCTGTTAACCCTTTGCGGCACGGTGGTGCGCTCAGTGCGTATAATTGCAATAAATAAGCATGTAATCAAAATTTGTACAAACTAATTTTCTATTAAACTGTAACCAACGGATATTTAACTCAACCAACAACTCAGCCACGACTTTTACATTGATACTTAAATTTGTATGGTTATTTAACTTGCAACGGATAAACGTTTGTTTGTCTTTTATTCGTTGCTTGAAATTCTTATCTAGATAAGAACTTTTCTCGTATCTGGCTCAGCCCGCGATCTTCACGGAAGAAAATCTTTCTATCTTTCCTTTTGCACGAGTTGGCATCGCTCACGCGCTTCCTAGTTTTTTTTTTCTCTCTGTTCCCCGTGGTCGTTGGTATTATTTATGATATCGTATAGGCGCGTTCGATATTATTCCCAGATTAGACTCCCTCGTTAAACTCCGCCGATGGTTATCAGACTTGGTCGATCGGTTCTCCACATGAAAATTTATTTTTTCTCGCGTAAGAATTGCAAATACATTCGTTTGTCCAGAGATTTATGACGTCTAACGAAATCCACTTTCCTCTAATTTCTTTTACCAGAGTATTGAAGGTTTTAGCTCGAGATAAAAATTGTCACGCTTTTGAGCGATTGGGAACGGAAGTGGAGGACACCGAGAGCGAGTGAGATAATTATAGACGGATTAAACAATCGTAATCTGCGTCCCGAAATTGAACAGAAAGTACTTGTAAACAAAATAGGTCCACGAACTTTTTATTTTTTTATTGTCCACGTTACAGCTAGTGCTATACTTGAGAATTTTGACGTGGAAATGCGTGTTAGAACGAATGCCAAGAAACTGTATCAACAAGCTCGTCTGACCTTCTCCTGTCACAGACTCTTGAAGAATAGTAGAGACGCGCGTACAACGTACACGCTGCAATTACAAAGCAATCGAAACCACGAATCGACGTGGGTAGTGCAACCCATTGGATACTGGATTATTATCATTTCAAAATTGAGTTTATTCCCATTTGATATATTCGTTCGTAGAAATTTCAACATGTATCTTTAACTCAGGGAATTCAATTTCACCGTACACCATAAATGTTCCAATTAATAATTTTATTGCTCCGTTTATGTAAACATTGATTAAACGAGCGTTGAAGTGGCGCGTCGACCTATTCGTTAATTTATTTTTAATATTACGTGGTCGCTTGCCTCGCTCGGTTTCAGTTCCAACGCGATTTTTCCCTCTTGAGATAGACGGTGCAATTATTCTCTTGACCGACCGTCGATGATCGTCCGCGTGATTGGTCGCCGTTTGTCATTTAGCAACTCTCACATATCGCGAACAACGACACGGCGTGGAAGTGCCAAGGATCCCCCGAAGGTGAACAAATTGCAAAACCATCTGCATATTTATCTATCGCGGACGAACGTGGGCACACGCCATGCTTCTTGTGGCTTTTCTCTCCGTTGCTGCAGGCACGTGACAAGGGAGGGGGCAGAAGGGCCAAAGCATACAAGGGTTCGTGATATTTGAGTCCTCTTCAGCAAACGAGAGCGTGTGAACCTCACATAAAACCTTGTGTTAAAGAATATTTGAAATTTAAAAAAATCGAAAAAAATCTGTTCTATCGTTACACGCGTTGGATATTATCGAACCACAAAGAGCATTGCTCGGGGCGGCAGAGTAGCCAAGCACAGGCCTGGCTCGCTGTAGAAACGACAGAGGTGGACCGTTGTTCGTACACTGCGGAGCAGGTGACAACGAAAATAGTAATGAAATCGGCGCGTCGAACGTGGGCGGCCATTGGCTTGTGTCACACACGAGTCTGACCCCGCGGGCAAACTCGGCCAAGTCCTTAATACGTGATGCAAACGCTGAGTCGCTGAAAACTCTACGCGGCTCGAAACCGATCGCTCCGGTCCACTTTTCCGCGACGTTCACGCTTACGAAACTCTGTCTAGAATTTTAGCCCGTTGTTCTTCGCACCTCGAATCGATCGCAGTTTTGCTTTGCATTCGAATTCTAGTCTTCCACTGTATAGTATATTTATTATTATTTAATAGAGCCAACGTTTGGTTCGATTCGTCTATATTTTGTGTGTAACTGACAACAGTTCTGAGGCCCCCATTGTACAAATACATTTTGCGTTGAAACACGTGACCAGGACAAATAGATCGATGGCAGAGTCCGTTGCAATAACGGCTGACGAAGTCGAGAAAAGACTAGTCCGTACAACGAAACGGGGGAGCATTTTTCGACGAAATTTCTGGAGGGTGTATCCGATACAGATATGTAGTTCGTATTGGCAAAGTTTTCTAATATACTCCAGACAATGTTTTGTTTGTCGAAGAACCGAGCAACGTTGGTAACATATAATCTGAGCGTCCATAGAAGCTGGAGATCTATTACAGGTCGTATTCTATCTATTATAGTACCTTTTGTCTCCCGTGCTGCAGATTACCGTAGCCTACTTCACCCTTTCTACTACTTCTGAAATTACCGATGATTTTACTCTCTTAACGTTCGTACGTATACTTCTGTTAGGCCATTGCTTTGTGGAAACAGTCGGGTTACCTGGGAATACATAATACAAACGTAACGGTACAGCCTTGTGTGCTCGAATATCCTTTTCGACGTCTGTTCCGACATTTCGCCAGCGTTCCAATTAGCTTCATCCCCCGATGACGCACTGATACGTATTAGAAGCCTCAAACAGTATCAGCGTTAAGAACAGGGGCCGTGAAAGCTTTTCAGATATCTTATTCGAGCGTAAGGGGTTAGCGAGCGTTGCTTCGATTGCTCGTTTGCTAGGTTACAGCGAACGCGTTTCATCGTTCCTACATTTCATTACGGGTTCACAGTCGCGTAAATATTTACTCGGAGACGCAAAGGATTATCGATAAACGTTGAGTAGTTGGGTGAGGCTGTAAAGCGGTTCGAACCTCGCCTTTTTCGATAAGAAAGCATTCGATTACGCCGCGTTCTTTCGCGTCATTCTTGACCCAACAATGTTCTTACGTTTATTTAGTAAGAGTTGTACGAACTGTTGGCACATCCTAACTTCTTGTCCTGTATCGGTATAAATTATGCTACAGTCGTATTCGACGTGCGTCGAGATGCATCGAATCGTTTTTATTCACTTTTCACTTCGCGGATATGGGCGTTTATGGCCGAGAAAATTCACGGTCTACGGATCAAGAGCAAAGTAGGTTGGAAGGGCACGAATTTCCGGAGGAAGGTCACCATTATCAGTGATGATAGTGATTTCATAAAGGAGGAAATGAGTAAAATTCGG